GTGTTTCTTTCATAATGAAATAAAACCTATTTATTTTGACATAGCTTGTTTTAGAGAGGTGGCCTATATTAGTTTAACAAAATTGAAGGTTTTCTATTCAGTTACTTTTGTGAGAGTAAATTTATTGGATTCTATGACAAACTTTGCAAAACATTACTTGGGATTTTTAAATAAAGTATTGCTGGGTGAGGTGGCTGATGCCTGTAATCCCGGCACTTTGGGAGGCTGAGGCAGGCGGATCACAAGGTCAAGAGATCGAGGCCATCCTGGCCAACACGGTGAAACCCTGTCTCTACTAAAATACAAAAATTAGCTGGGCGTGGTGGTGCACGCCTGTAGTCCCAGCTATTCAGGAGGCAGAGGCAGGAGAATTGCTTGAACCTGGGAGGCGGAGGTTGCAGTGAGCTGAGGTTGTGCCACTGCACTCCAGCCTGGCACCTGGCCACAGAGAGAGACTGTCTCAAAAAAAAAAAAAAAAAATGTATTTTTACATTCTCTTCATTGCATTTCAGGAGGAAAAAAAATACCTAAATATTTACCTAAGTTTCATAGTTTGAATATAGCTAGCAAAGTTGTTAGAGATTTACCCAAAAACTTGGAAAACTTATGTCTACACAGAAACCTGCACATGAATGCTTTTAAGAATTTATTCATAATTGCCAAAATTTGGAATCAAGATATCCTTCAGTAGGTGAATGGATAAATTATGATATATCCATACAATAGAATATTGTTCAGCAATAAAAAGAAATGAGCTGTCGGCCAGGTGAGGTGTCTCACGCCTGTAATCCCAGCACTTTGGGAGGCCGAGGCGGGTGGATCATGAGGTCAGGAGATCCAGACCATCCTGACCAATGTGGTGAAACCCCGTCTCTACTAAAAATACAAAAATTAGCTGGGTGTGGTGCCACGTGCCTGTAGTCCCAGCTACTCGGGAGGCTGAGGCAGAAGAATCGCTTGAACTCGGGAGGTGGAGGTTGCAGTAAGCCGAGATTGTGCACTGCGTTCCAGCCTGGTGACAGCAAGACTTTGTCTCAAAAAAAGAAAAAAAAAAAGAACTATCAAGCCGTGAAAAGATGGAGAAACCTTAAATGCATATTGCTAAGTGAAGCTAGTCTCAAAAGGCTGCATATGATATATAATTCTAACTATGACATTCCTGAAAAAGGCAAAATTATAGACTGAGAAAAAAATTAGTGGTTACCAAAGGTGGGGAAGGTAGGAGGGTCAAATAGGTCAAATAGCACAGGGCATTCCTAGGGCCATTAAACTGTTTTGTATGATACTGTAATGGTGAATACATGTCATTTGTAAAAGTCTGTAGAATGTACAGTACAAAGAGTGAACCCTAATGTGAACGATGAACTTTAATAATAATGTATCATCATTGGTTTATCAGTGGCAACAAATATGCCACACTAAGGCAATATGTCAATAATAGGAGAAGATATGTGTGGTGGGTGCTGGGGAGAAGAGGTATATGGGAGTTCTTTCCACTTTCCACTCAACCTTTCTGTAAACCTAAAGCTGCTCTAGACAATAATATCCATTAATTGAAAAAAAGTGCTCAATTAAAAAGTGACACACATTCCTTTATATATAATATTACCTTCTACATAAGGAAGGAGGTGCATAGTTAATATTTTCTTATGAAGGAGAGCATAGTTAATATTTTTCTAATCTCACTTTTTCAGAGAAACGTACATATATCTCATGTATAAACAAATTGTTTCTACTGACATTAGGAAATTTGAGGTGTGTTTTTTTTCCCTTGAAGCCATTTATTGAGTGTATACTATTTGTAAGATATTATTAGGTATTTTTGTACAACATGTCTATTTAGTTTGAAGTAGATACTAATCACTCCATTGCATGGGTGAGAAAACTGTGGCTCAGATAAGGGAAGTGGGAAAGCTGGTACTTGACTCCAAAGCCTGGGTGCTCTGTGGTCCTAGTAATTCACATAGACTTTTTTTTTTTTTTTTTTTTTTTTTTGTGCAATAGCTGAAGTTTGTCCCCTAAAGTAAATGTAAGACCTTTAAAGCTAAAACAATATTAAAGAGGATTGTCTAGATATGAATCTTGACTCTACTGTTTGTGGTTTTATTTAGGTTATGTTATCTGTTTATGCTTTGGTTTCCTTATGTGTTCATTGGAGACAGTAATTGGGATTGTTAGGAGGGCTGAGTTAATATATGAAACAGAACAGGGCCAAGTACAAAGTCTGAGCTCCATACATGTAATTCCACTAATTAATAATGGAATTATTTCTCATTTTATAAATAAAGGAAACAGAGACCCAAAGAAATTAAGTGACTCTCTGAGTCACATAGCTTCTAAAGTCACATAGCTATTAACTAACAAAGTTAGTTTTTTAAAAAATTTTAAGACCAGAATTTTATCTGTTCACCTTTTTTTTTCTTTTTAAAAAAGAAAAACTCTCAAAAAAGATTTTAGTTTCTCCATATCTGTTTAGAATAAACCAGATATATTATAAATTAGGCTTTTTTCTCAATCAGATTGATAAATAGGAAAAAGCACTGGTCTATAATTTAGGTTCCAAGTCATATCTTGTCCCTACTTTGCTATATAACCTTAAATATTTGATTCTGTTTCATTTGTAAAATGAGGGTAGAGTTGGTCAGATGATTTTTAAGTTTGTTTTTTTAACACCAATAGAATATATAGTGAAGAGAGATACAGTTGTTGTTTTTCATGAGTTATTACACTATGCTATCATACTCTGAAGTTCCCAGAGGTTCTTGATGGTAGGGTAGTTACCCTCCATGCTAAATGACTGCGGAGTGCTGTACTTTTTATATTGGTGATCCATGATTTCCTCACGACATCTGAAGCTGTCTCATAGCATTGTTCCTTCTTTTTCTGCCTTCGGTCTATTCAATTGTTTTAAGACAGGGTCTTGCTCTGTTGCTCAGGCTGGAGTGCAGTGGTGTGTTGTTCATGGTTTACTGAAGCCTCACCCTACTGGGTTCAAGTGATCCTCCCACCTCAGCCTCCTGAGCAGCTGGCACTACAGGCATGTGCCACTATGCCCATCTAATTCGTTGTTAATTTATTTTGGTAGAGATGGAGCTTCACTGTGTTGCCCAGGCTTGTCTTCAACTCCTAGGCTCCAGTGATCCTCCTAGCTGCAGCTTTCAAAGTGCTGGGATTACAGGCATGAGCCACCGTGCCTGGCTGGCTCCACTTTTTTTTTTTTTTTTTTTTTTTTTTTTTTTTTTTTTTTTTTTTTTTTTTTTTTTTTTTTTTTTTTTAAGACAGAGTCTCGCTTTGTCACCCAGGCTGGAGTGCAGTGGCACTCTAGTGATCTTGGCTCCCCGTAACCTCCACCTCCCGGGTTCAAGCGATTCTCCTGCCTCAGCCTCCCAAGTAGCCGGGATTACAGGGACCCGCCACCACATCCTGCTAAGTTTTTTATTTTTAGTAGAGACAGGCTTTCACCATATTGGCCAGGCTGGTCATGAACTGGCTTCACTTATACAAAGAAAGCTTGTATACTTTGTTTCAGTTATTGACTGAACACATAGCAATACTTTTTGGCTGCTGCATTCACAGCTAAGTAGTAAATAGTTGAGTCCCTTAGAATGGAGTAGGGTTGGGAATGGGAGATGCTGAAGACTTTAGTTATATGGTAAGGTCTTTATATGGAAGGTATAATTTTAGTGACCAGAGCATTTTTGAGATATCTCTTGCTGTGGGAGCATACTTGAATCCCTGTTGTTTGGTTGCCCAAAAAGATCCCATGAATTGTAGCACTGTGCATTTCTTCCTTAATGTGATACAAGTAATAATAAAGTAAGTCAAATTTATTAGAACCTGTTCTATTAAATAGTAGTAGTAGTAGTATTTTTAAAGAGATAGGTCTTGCTTTGTTGCCTAGTCTTGTCTCAAACTTCTGGCTTTAAGCCATCATTCTGGCTTTAAGCCATCATCCTGTCTTGGCCTCCCAAAGCACTGGGATTACAAGCATGAGTCACCTTACTTGGCATAACTGATAATATTAAGAAACTGTTATTGACAATAGCGAGGGTGTTTCCTTATTAAAGGAAATTTGATTTAAAGGAAAGATATTTAGATGAAGAGAAAGTTATTTTCTTTGTGAGTTTATACGATACATACTATGTAAATTATGTCCTCTTGTAGTCACATAAAGTGTGTGCTGTATTTTGATGTTAGCTCTTTTAAAAAAAATTTTTTTTTCTCTTTTTCTTGTAGCTGGGTTTCTAAGTATTTAATCAATGCTCAGAAAAGTTTACTTTTACTCTGGAATAAAATCTCATAAAGGTGGAACAAAATAGGTAACAATGATTAGGCCTCTGGATAGAAATATACTGTGGAATTCTAGTGAGGGACATCTAGGGGTAATGAAGTCAGGATCTAGTGAATATTCAGAAGTCTGGCGTAGCAGTGCGTACAGGCACAGGGATAAATAGGGTCTTTTGGGAGTTAAGGAATAAAGCCCCCCCCCCCAAAATTCTGAATTTTAGGCCAAAAAAAAAAAAGAACAAACATTGTGCCAGCATGTAGTTTTTAATGGCAGTATCAAATGTAAAAGCATCATGGAACAATCATTGATATTGTTATGTTTTCAGGTGTCTTTCCTAAATTTTCAGATGGGTCTAATGCCAATTTCTAGTTGAAAACCTGATGATTAATTGCAACATTTAGCCGCTAGTAATACTACTTTCAGGTGATGCTTCTTGACTGAGTCTCTTTGCAAATGTATTTATCTTATTGAGTGCCAGTCAGCCAGCTGCCACATTGTAGCTACCAGGAGGCTTACTTTTCTGGCCATATCTCCTAGGCTCCTGGGCCCAGGCCTTCAAAGGAATATGTTAGATTTTTGTTTGAACTGAGGGAATTTTCCTCTTTGAGTTTATTTAAGTTTTTAATTAGTGATATGTTTATGGGCTACACACTCAGATTGGAAGCTAATAGTAAATAAGCATTTTTGAAGTTGTTTTCCTCTTCTCTTGCAGGTGTGTTCCAGAGAACAAGTCTTCAAACATATTTGCTATATTGACACTTAGCTGTCAGGGGACTCAGGCTTATGAGGAGGTATTGTTACACGAAACAGTGTCTAGTGAAGACGACAAGAAAGAGGGGAAAGGATCGGAAAAAGAAGCTGAAATACTATAGAAAACCATGGTAGGTTATTGTGGACATTTTCATAATTTATTTACAAAAGACTCCAGTAATTTAAAATTGGAAATGTTAACAGTGAGGGCAAATGAAAAACAATGGTGTAAATTTTTTGCTTTAGTGTATCAGATAAAGATGGCACTCTTACTATTTAAGCAAAGCGACTGAATTCAGATTTATTATAAGCCCTATAAACCACAAGGTAGGGCCCCATGAGCCTGTAGGCCATGAATTATTAAAGGAGGGAATGCTCATAAATAATATTTTCTAATAAAACTGGCATTAGCAAACTGATACAAATAGCTAGGTTTTTTACTTTAAGTTCAGTTTTTTTTCTTGTGGAAATTAATTCTGAATCAGTCCTTTAATTAGTGATAGGAATGATATAGAAGTTTATAAAATGTGTAAATGTTTAACTGAAAAAGTCACCTCTTTCACATATTTTTCAAATAATAGGGTCAAGTGCTGAGTATAGTAGGGACACTGAAATGAGAATCAAAGAAACCTCGTTTTTTGTGAAGAGTTCAGACTTAAATAGAATTTGTGATGTTAGATGAGGTCATAATCTCTGGTGCCTAGGCTTTTAATTGGTAAAATGTGTGGATTTTTTTTTTCCCTCTTAGTATTATTAGTTCTGGAGGGTGTTGTGTGAAGTTTTCTCCTAAGTATAAGCAATAAAAGGTTTCTTTTTTTTTTTTAAGACAAAGTCTTGCCCTGTCACCCAGGCTGGAGTGCAATGGCATGATCTCAGCTTATTGCCACCTTGCCTCACTGCAAGCGAGTCTCCCTGCCTCCGCCTCCCGAGTAGCTGGGATAACAGGTGCCCACCATCATGCCTGGTTCATTCTTTCGTATTTTTAGTAGAGACAGGGTTTTGCCGTGTTGGTCAGGCTGTCTCCATCTCCTGACCTCAAGTGATGTACCCGCCTCAGCCTCTCAAATTGCTGGGATTATAGGCATGAGCCACTGTGCTGGCCAAGGTTTTAAAAACACATTACAAATGAGAGAAAAAGCCCAGTATGTTTGGAATATATTGTTTAGCAAGTCTGATGGTGGTGATGTGTTTTGATTTTTTCTTTCTTTCTTTTTTTTTTTTTTTTTTTTGTTTTTTTTTTGAGACAGGGTCTTCTCTGCCACCCAGGCTGGAGTGCAGTGACATGGTCATAGGTCATTGCAAACTCCAATTCCTGGGCTCAAAGGATCTTCCTGTTTGAACCTCCCAAGTAGCTGGGCCTGTAGGCGCATGCCACCACATCTGTCAAATTTTTGAATTTTTGTAGAGATAGGGTTTTGCTTTGTTGCCCAGGCTGATCTGGAACTCCTGGGCTCAAGCAATCCTGCCGCTGCCTTAGCCTCTCAGAGTGCTGGGATTATAGGCATGAGGCACTATGCCCAGCCTGGTGGTGCTTCCTTAAATGTTACTTGCTTTTAAAATATTTGTGCCAAGGATTATAAACTTAATCAGCTAGCTCCTTAGAGAAGAAATTCTAATATTTTAGATCTAGATGGTAGGAACAGATGTTAACTTGGGATTTTCCCTGTCATTTTAGTTATGTGGTGAAATGTGAAAAAACCACACTGATTCTTTTGTATCTTACCATGTGAATTATTTGCCTCTGATTGTGCTCATTTTTTATAGTCTTGATATTCTTATGACTAAAAGAAATGCTTTATTATTTATCAAAGTAGATGAAGATGTCTTCCTTAGTTTATTCTTTTAAAATTCAGCTTAGATTTTCTGGTGTATAAATTCTGTGCTTTTATATAATTTAATTGATGTGTATTTTCCAGTTTCTCTTGTTACTTGCTCTTTAGATCTTCAATTGCAATGAGAATTTTCTCTTTCTGCCTAGTTCTTCTGATTATTTATTTATTTATTTATTTGAGATGGAGTCTTGCTCTGTCGCTCCGGCTAGAGTGTAGTGGCACTGTCTTGACTCACTGTAACCTCTGCCTTCTGGGTTCAAGCAGTTCTCCTGCCTGAGCCTGCTTCGTAGCTGGGATTATAGGCATGTGCCACCACACCCGGCTAATTTTTTTGTATTTTTAGTAGAGACAGGATTTCACTATGTTGGTCAGGCTGGTCATCTTGAATTCCTGACCTTGTGATCCGCCCACCTGGGCCTCCCAAAGTATTGGGATTACAGGTGTGAGCCACTGTGCCTGGACTTTTTTTTTTTGAAACAGTCTTGCTCTGTTGCCCAGGCTGGAGTGCAGTGTCACTATCATGGTTCACTGCAACCTCCACCTCCTGGGTTCAAGTGATTCTCCTGCCTCAGCATCCCAAGTAGCTGGGACTATAGGCATGCACCACCACACTCTTCTAATTTTTGTATTTTTAGGAGAGACGGGATTTCACCTTGTTGGCCAGGCTGGTCTTAAACTGCTTGACCTCTGATGATCCGCCAGCCTCAGCCTCAGCCTCAGCCTCGCAAAGTGCTGGCATTACAGGCGTGAGCACTGAGTCCGATTTGTTTTTTTAATACTTAAAGAAAATCTGTTTGGAGCTTATTTGAGTAAATAAGATTTCTCTCCATTTTTGGTTATACCTATTTCTTCAATTTTTCCTGTCACTGTTGTTTCATAATGCTTATCCTGTCACATCCAGTAGAATATTAGATGTAACATTTTTGAATTTAACGTTGGCAGTCTGTATTATTTGTGTGATAAATGACAAATGTTTATGTACTGTAGTAATATGTAGTTTTGCTCAGGTGTGGTCAGTGTGCAGGACTGGGTAATTTAGCAAGTACATAAGCCTAGCAAACAACCTAGCATCTCCAACTTTTCAGCTCTTTTGTTTTCTAATACTTATTTTGGGATATATGAACAAATCTCACGAAGTGTTTAAAAAAATTTGTTTCTTTATGGCAAACCGCTCCAGTTGGAAAACTGGTTGTGGATGTTGAGCAAGAAAGAAATCTAGACAGGTGATTTTTATTTAGAAAAAGAAGGTTTTAGAATTTATTTTAGCCTATATTTATATAATGATTGAGTTTTTCACATCATTACCTTTTCAACTAAAGTTTTCTTTGCTTTATAGAGGACAGTGACACTATAGTGTTAATTTACTGTTATCCAAAAAAATATGATTTTTAAACATAGATATTCAAACAAGAAAAAGAGGCAAGACTGTTCATAAAGAATTGAGAATGTTTTAGTTTGCGATGGACTTCAAAACAAAATATTTACCATGTACTAACTCATAATTTCATGTAAGTAAAGACAGTATAACCAGTTTTTAAATGGAATATTTTAGGCTTTATGGAAAACTCACTAAGTTATTCTTGTTCATTTTGCTGTGTACTGGTACAAGTGTCCTTGTGATATTTGTAAATTTGGAAAAATTTAAAGATTTTTGGACTCCTGAGTATATAGGATCATGACTCATGTGTGACTCATGAGTGTATAGGATCTACTCTGTTAAATTTTCATGAAATTCATTCATTTTCTGGGTGCTGGTCTGTTCTACTGTCGATATTTCATTTTAGTTAATGGTACCACCCATCCATCTTTATAGAGTATTTCTTGATACACTCATTGATTTTTTTTTTTTTTCCCAAATGAGCTTTAAAATGATTTTTGTTGAGATTTAAGTAAATTAACCCTGAGGAGATTTTGATTGAGAACATATTTGTCAATTAGCTTGATTCATTTTGCAGTGTGAATTTTTCCCACTCCGCATTTGGAATGTCTCCTAGTAATCTATTTAAAAAATTAAAGCCTTGCACCAAAGGTTTGAATGTCAAATAGTTAACACTATTCCAATGTTTTTAATAGTTTTCTTATGGTGTTCACAGATAACTTTTTATTTTGTATTATTCTGTATTATGAAGTCTCAAATTCTAAAATTTAATTAGAGACCTCTGTTGCCCAGGTTGGAGTGCAGTGACACAATGGTAGCTCACTTAACCTTGAACTCCTGGGCTCTAAGGATCCTCCTGCATCAGCCTCCTGAGTAGCTAAGACTACAGGTGCCCGCTACCATGCCCAGCTAATTTTTTTTTGGAGAGATTGGATCTTGCTGTATTACCCAGGCTGGTCTCCCAACTTCTGGCCCCCAGCAATCTTCCCACCTCAGCTTCCCAAAGTGCTGGGATTGTAAGCATGAGCCACCGTGCCCAGCCCTAAAATCTCAGTTTTTTAAGGTTAGAAATCTTGGGCAGTTTGGAAAGGTTAGAAGTCTTTGGCAGTTTATGAGTCACTCACAATCCTGCATTTCTGGGACTCTCTGGAAGCTAAGAAGTATTTGATTCTTGCAGATGATGCATGATGTGGATGACATTTTTTGAAGTAGTATTCAGAATGTGTAGATTCAGCTAAAAGATAACTGTATTCATTTGTTTATTTAGAGACGGAGTCCATTGTGTCACCCAGGCTGGGATGCAGTGGTGTGATCTCGGCTCACTGCCACCTCTGTCTTCTGGGTTCAAGCGATTCTGCTGCCTCAGCCTTCTCAGTTGCTGGGACTACAGGTGCATGCCACGACACCTGGCTAATTTTTGCATTTTTGGTAGAGATGGGGTTTCACCATGTCATCCAGGCTGGTCTCAAACTCCTGACCTCAAGTGATCTGCCCACCTCAGCCTCCCAAAGTGCTGGAATTACAGGCATGTGCTACCGTGCCTGGCCAAGATATAACATTATAATAATGCCAAGAGTGACCAAATTGAACCTTACCAAAACATGAATGAAAGATCTCTTATTTTCTGGTGAAGAGTTCAACAGAATGGGGTTTTACTTCCTACTCTTGAGCGTTTTTTCTTGTTTCAGTATTAACTGTTTCACAGTAGACAATCAGTGCTGTGGGTTGGCTAAAGATATATTTGTATATCATCCTTTTTAGGTGGTATTTCTTGTGTTGAAGTAATTGTTTTCATTCTCCTTCTAACAGAGATCTATTCGATCTTTTGCTAATGATGATCGCCATGTTATGGTGAAACATTCAACAATCTATCCATCTCCGGAGGAACTTGAAGCTGTTCAGAATATGGTATCTACTGTTGAATGTGCTCTTAAACATGTCTCGGATTGGTTGGATGAAACAAATAAAGGCACAAAAACAGAGGGTGAGACAGAAGTGAAGAAAGATGAGGCCGGAGAAAACTATTCCAAGTGAGTGTGGACTGACCTCTGGGATGTTGTGCTATGTGCACAGCAAAGTTCGAAGGTCCTGCTGGATTGAGTTTGTTTTACACTGTTTTTTGGATTTTGTCTTATGCATATATGAAGCTATATCTAAGGAAGTAAATGTTATGTGGAGATTTTCTGAGTTAAATTTGAAAGGAAACCTTGAAAAGAGTAAAGATTAGAGCCAGAGAAAGAAAATGGACCTTTTTAGGATCCCTTTTGAGAGAACACCAAGTCCTCTAATGATCTTTTTACTTTGTTGTTTCAGCCTCTTAAATTTTGAAATAAATAGTGTTTTGGTCTCTGGGGAGATCATAAAATATCATTTTTGTAAGGCATTTAAAAATCCTTTTATGGTATTTTTGACTGTACTACTTTCATTGATTCCCGGGAATTTAGCAGTGTCCTGCATATTGTAATTGCTCATTTTATATTTGTGGATTGGATAAAGGTCTAATGGGAACCATACCCTTTAACAGTTATAGTAGAATATTCTGAGTGCTGTGATAATAGTAGGCTAGTGAAACTGAAGTGGTACTTGGAGTTAGATCACTAACCTTTTTATGCAAGGTTAAGCTTAAAGTTATTGTTTTGAGCATTTGTCACTGTGATTGGAGTAAGTGTCTAACTTTGAAAGATGGAGCTCGTTTGACTATACTGTATTAGTAAATTTTAAAACATTACTTTGGCTGCAATTTGTAAATGGAAGAGGTTACAGAATTTTTTCTTCAGCTTTTAACTTTTAAATTAATGTGGTAAGTAGATAAATAACAGTAGGAAAGTGTTGATAAATGGATTTTCTTCACTGAAAGATAGTATAAACTTTTTTATCTTCAGATGAAAGATAATCAGTGTATCAGTTTTATTGCTGAAGAGTGTAATTTTTTTTTTTTTAGCTATTTACAGGCAGTTTATACATTGTGTCTGGTCATAGTCTTGTCAGTTTGAAGGTTCTTGGACATGTAATTGTTGTCATATATGATGTCTGTACAAATGTTACTGTTAGATTTGGAGTTCATGTTCATTAGTAATATTATCTAATTATTTAGTTCTGTTTATACCTCAGCTCTTCAGCAACTTAAATAGTCATGTATTCCAGATTTAAATTGCACTTTGTTACTTGTTTATGTCATGTTAAAAGCTTTTTTTATTATGGTAAAATATATAACATAAGATTTGCTATTTTTGTTTTAAGTATATATTTCAGTGAAATTTTCTTTTTAATACAATTTCTAATTTTGTTTATTCTCAAGCCTGGAATGTTTTGGAAAGCACTCCTATAGACTTGCTTAACTGGATGAGGTCTGTGATTTAAAGACTTTTATAGGATAATATGCTCCATACTTTCGTTTGAAGTTTTATTTTTATTTTTATTTTTATTTTTATTTTTATTTTAGAGAAAGGGTGCTGTGTTGCCCAGGCTGGAGTGTAGTGGTGTGATCATAGCTTATTGTAGCCTTGAACTCCTGGGCTCCAGTGATCCTGGGCTACATTAACCTCCTGAATAACTAGGACTATAGGTGTGTGCCACCATGCCTGGGTAATTAAAAACAATTTTTTTTTGAGAGACAGAGTCTTGCCACATTGCCCAGTCTGGTATCAAACTCCTGGCCTCAAGCAGTCCTCCTGCCTTGGCCTCCCAAAGTGCTGGGATTACAGACATGAGCCACCATGCCGGGCCTGGATTTTTAAATATGGTTCTGGTGTGGATGCTCTTGGTTGTCTGTATACAGTCTTTCCATTTTATGGAAGAGTTTCTGGTTGAGTCCTTGCCTATGATCCTTCCCATGTGGTGGAACTCAAGGAGTACAGAATGATTCTCTTCTTCTTTTTTTTTTT